GTCAAACGCCGATCAATCTCAAGCACGACTCCGCCATAATCCAGGACACTTTCACAATCTGCTCGGTCCATACGGTAACGGAAACCACATCACAAAATGTCACGAGGCCTAGACAAGCGCTCGAGATGAAATCACCGCCATCGCCTCGTCAGTACTGTGATACATGACGTTTTAGTCGGGACTGAGCCTTCCACCAACATGGCTGTCATTTTCACCCCAATCGCCTCTGAAAAATACTGAAACCGAGGTTGCGGGAAGGGACCCTGAGGACAAGGACCTGGAAAGGACCGACGTTCTCAGCATCTAAGCCATGCTGAGACAGGAGCGGCCACATCGCGACGGATCACAAGCGTCCCCCCAATCGGTTGTTCGACGTCGACGCCACGTTTGGTGCTTCCAGACAGAGCGGACAAAAGGATAGTTACAAAGGCACCATGAAGGGGCCCATCGACAAACATCGGCAGGCCGGGACACAGCCGTAAGAACAGGATCAGCAACTGACAAGTCAAATCGCACGGAAGAGGTCACAACGGGGAGCGAAACACGCAACTGCCAGCGATCAATCGACTATTAAACATACCAGCGTCAGTACGACGAGCGAAAAGTCGCATGTACGAATATGTGCATTTAATTCACACGAGAATCACGTCATAGACCGAGACTTGACTTGGTGTAGTGGAGGACCAATGCGGTCGTGGCACACGACAGACGACGGCTTATAGGTCACGTCAGCCGCCGCACCGTCCCGGAGTCATCTGTTTGACAGACTTGAGCAGTCAACAGACGCACGGGGACGGGGATACGAGATAGGGATCGATTGGCGGCCAATAGTTGTAGTCAGTGGTAAGGCGCGCCCACCGATCGTTCTAACAGAACTCACTCGTTCCGTTATGCCTTACGGGCTCTCTCTCGAGCCCAACCAGCAGCCGCACAACGGAACGAGTGAGTTCCGCAAGAATGATCGGTGAGCGTCCCCTACCATTGTATATTCCCGATCGAAAACCGACAGGTCAACAGTATCGTGGCCCAGCGGTTTGAGGCGCGGACTTCTAACAAACAGTTCGCGAGTTTGAGTCCCAGGTGTTCCACACTTCGGGGTTGGGCTGACGGCGGCTAATAAGCCAGAAATGGTCATTCCAGTCTCCCTTGTCTCTGTCGGTAATAACATACAGCAGTAGTCAGGTTGCCAACTGAAGTGGCAACTCTGTATCTATTCAGTGCTGAGGACTGGAGTGCGATGACTCATTCCTAATGATTCGTCTATGGAATTATCAGTTATGCCATTTTTGAGCCTTCGAAAATGTAGCCTGGCAGGTGTGCAATCGGGAGCAGGTCGTGTGCGCCGCGGGTGGGCGAGTTATACAGTCGCCAGTCATTACGCCTATGGCCACTTTCGGTTACTCTGACGTCATCTCCCCTCTAGATCAGGGTGGGTGAGGTAGATACGTGGAAAGTTCGCCACACTGCAAACAAAGTTGCAGGCCGACCACAGCTGAACGTATCTCGCGGGACTGCACAGAATGTCGTTGTTCGCGACAGCCGAACTATCGCGTGCTGAATTACCTGACGAGTTGTCCCCTTCTGGGCATGTACTTGTACCTGATACGGCTACGATCATGCCTGATCTAGCCGGCCTCGATGATGTCCCGAACTGTACCTCTCCACGCATGACGATCCGCGGCAGCAGACCTGCACAGCTCAACCCATTCCCTTCGCAAACGACGGAGACCGAATACCGAAGGTCCAAGAACCACCTCCATGTCTTGACGGACAGTGTTGAGCCAGGTTGTGCACTAACCCCCGCTTCGACGCCTCCAGTGGGGCAAAGGTGCCGGATCGAGGGCAGTAACACTGAGCTCTTGAGGTGGACGACGAAGAACATGTCCGAACCACCTCAGTCGTCTTTTTTGGATGGCCTGAGTTATCCTTGCGATGCTGTCGCAGCGAGCGCGGACTGTCTCATTTGAGACGAAGTCGGTGGTGGTCAAATACCTCCAGTTTTCGCCCGTCCTCCACGCCCAAAGCCCAGCATTCACAACCGTGGAGAAGTACAGACAGGACAGATGCACGGTACACGCGAATCTTAGAGACGACGGAGAGGTCGCGTCTGATCCATAGGCACTTTCGAAGGCTTGAGAAAACCCAGCGGGCAGCATGAACTAGGGAGACAATGTCGTCCTTACTCTGTCCATTAGGCAGCAGCCGCGCCCCGAGGTATTTAAAACCGTCCTTTTCTTCAAGTTGACAGTCATCAATCCCCAGGGATGCCTTCTCCTGGTCAGGGATGCAGCTTGAGAACACTTTGGTCTTCCCAGCGTTTATGGACAAACCGACCGATTTAGCGACCTCGTTCACCCGTGACACCATAGACTGCAGATCACAAGAACTTGACGCAAGTAAGGCGATATCATCGGCATAGTCGAGATCAGTCAGCCGATGTCCGGGTGCAAATTCAACGACATCACTGTCGCGTAGGGCCCTCCCGAGGATCCAGCCAATAGCGTAATTGAACAGTATGGGTGACAGGATACAACCCTGTCGGACGCCAGACCGAATACCGAACGGTTGGGAAAGATTGCTACGGGCCAGGACTCTCGCAGTAGTGGAGCGATAGTAGGCCTTGATCATGGCGATGATTTTTGCCGGTACACCATCTAGCGCCATTATCCGCCACAGGGACTCACGATGGACGGGATCGAACGCGGCGGCAAAGTCAACGAAGCAGACGGCCGTCGAAATTCGAGAATGCGCCTCAGTGTGAATATCTGGTCTGCGCATCCACTCCAGCACGAAATCCGGCTTGGTTGGGCCTCGTCCTTGAGTCACGCACAGCCTGGAATCGCCTGAGTAGGACAATAGGGAAGATCTTCGCAGCATGGACACACGTGCGTCCGAGGTGAACGTGAGGGCGAAGTGGCTTAACGACAGGAGCATTGTCGACGATGATGATGAGTGGCATTGAGTCGTTATAGCTACGAAACAATGATGGACGGTACAATAATGACGATGGACTACAGGTCCACTAGATCGCGTGTCGGCCGCAATATTGGACCCCTTTAGAGGGGCGAGGAAGTATTGGCTTTAACGTAGGGACTACCAGGCATAAACGCACGCACACAAACTCGACACCGTCTTCTGGTTCGGTCGTCGGTCAAAGACGGTTAGAGGGCTATGCCGACGGGAGGGGAGCAGACTGGCGCAGGAAGCCAGGGGGGGGGGGGCAGAATAGAAGCATCTACGAATATTTCATCGATGACTTTGGTGGGAACTGCCAGTGCATTCCTGTAGAACGACCAACCGGACGCATACCATCTTACCAGATGTGGTATTTCGTTCAAATAGGCCGATGTTTCAAACCACCTTAATTTAGCAATAAATATGTACAGATATGGAGGTCGATAAAATTGCAAAATGATGCTTCAAATAAACGCGAAAGAAGGGCAGAAGGAAAGGGGGAGGGGAGAGGGAGGGCAAGTTGGGCCGTAGGGCATGTTCCGAGATGACCTATCGAAAGAGGTCGCCCGCTGAAGGCAAAGGATCTAGCCGTGATGTTTGGTCTGGCCGAAGACAAATGTCCGGAAGACTCCGAAGATGCACCTCAAGACTGTTCTGCAGGGTTTCGGTGTGACGAGCTTTCAGTTTAACATCCTAGGAAGCACAGGACAAGAAGCACCAAGGTCGAGAGGGGGAAAGTGTGGACAAAATTGGGGATTAAAAAGTGAAAAATACACACACACATACAGCAGATGCGCTATCTCATGAAATGTTACCTTAAATACTGAAATATGTTTTTTACCAGATAAGATTACTTAAGCAGGGTTATGATGTTAATTGTCGTGTAGCAGATATTTCGATCACCACAGGATGCCGGCCTTTGGACGAGCTTTTCCCTGGCCGCCTCCAAAAACCACACTCTGTAAAAAACGGCAACTTAAGTCGCATGAGTTTTTTCCCACCCATTTCCGACGTCCTTATAAATTCAAATATAAGAAAACATACATAAAAATATTCTCTTTGGTACTAATTTGGTGGGCATCTTTCGGTTTTTAAGGAACTTTCGCAGTCTATAAGTGACTTGAAATTTGAAGGAACGATTAAATTGTAGGCTCTGGCGGGGCATTGGACAATGACGAAAAACAAACGAGGCACACTACAGCGGACCACACATTGTAAGAGTTATTCGGGGAAGGGGAAGTATATGCACCGTCAGTGACCGATCTCATGAAATGTTGACCAAATTGTGAAATGCGTATTCGATTAAGGAGGATTACTTAGGTTTTGTAAAATTGATTATTTCGCGACGTAATGCCGTAATATTTCAGGCACGCCAGGGTGCTAGCTTTTAAATGCACCTCTTTGGACCGCCTGCAACGACTGCACTCGGTAAAAAGTGACTACTTTAGTAGTATGCACCTCTTCACTGATCTTCGGCGTCCTTATTGTCAGATATAATCCGTAGAAAACATGCATAAAACGTTCTTTCTTGTACTCATTTGGTAGAAAACCACGTCTTCTTTAAAGTAGATACTCGAAGAAAGGGTATCCTCCAGTTTTTTAAAAAAGTTTCCGACTGAGATTTTTAGGGTTGTGCAGTGTCCATTCAAATAACGCTGTATCTGTCTGTAGAATAATGCTCCTCATGGAAGATAAGATATAGTCCACATCCGTTACAGCTGGTAAACTTAAAACCCTAAACGCAAATGCAACGATAGAGCGAGCCCAGAAATATTCTGGAACTGAGAAGCCTTCTTAAAACCAGAAGATACCCTTTCTTCGAGCATGCGATTTGAAGAAGACGTGACTTGCTACCAAAATGAGTAAAATAAAGAATATTTTTATGTATGTTTTCTACAAAATATGTTTGGACCTGTAAAGGCACCGAAAAGCAATGTGAAAATGCTTATTAATTAAGCGATAGTTTTTTGCCGAGTGCTGTCGCTGCGGCAAAACAAGTGAGACGCGGATGGTCACTTCCGGCTTGCTAGTCGTCGTCAGCCAGCCTTACCTAACCAAAACTCTGAAAAATGACAGGTGGACTGTCGCGAACGCCGACGTACACCGTGTGCGCCACAGCAGGGGGGCAGAAACAGTGAACTGCGCGCAAGTTAGTTTGTAGTGGTGGTCGACCACCCTAAACCCCCCGAGACCGGTATCAAGACAGAGTCAGGAGGACCGAAGGCGCAAAAGCTAAGCCACAAGGCGACGGCGAACAAAGCTATTTAATGGTCGCTCCCAGTCGCCATGTCCCAGTACCCTCACGGGGCTTTGCGACATTTTAAGAGCCAGTTAGCGTGCAGCATCTGAGCCATCACTGCCAATCCGCGACTTCTTATTTGCTGAACCCTAGAGTCTGCGCTTATTTCGCAACTAACCTTCGCTGAGGACTGTTCCGCCATGCGCCATCTGTGGACGCGCCGGGTGAAAAGCAGTTGGGCTAACGGGTAACCCGCCGCCTCTATGTTGGTAAGAAAAGGTCACTTGCCCTAAGACGGGCCACGCAATAGATGCTTCGGATCAACACGGGGGCTACATCGGAGTTCGAGCAGGCCTTATCGAGATTGCGCACCCATAAAACGTGTCAAAAATCCGGATGCGGTGGCAGGTCCAGTTTTAGGCTCGCGCCGCACCAGTTGGAATCCTTGTTGCCCACCGTATTCGTTGTTAAAAATCCTGGTCAAGTGTTTTTTTTCTGAACCAGGGGGTGTGATGGTAGACCTAGGTGCGGGTTTACTCCGTAAACCCTCTCCCACCTACGGCTCTTTAACTCGTGCGGAAGTCACCACCCCTGCTCTCATCCCGCTTCGACGCCTCCAGTGGGGCAAAGGTGCCGGATCGAGGGCAGTAACACTGAGCTCTTGAGGTGGACGACGAAGAACATGTCCGAACCACCTCAGTCGTCTTTTTTGGATGGCCTGAGTTATCCTTGCGATGCTGTCG